CCTTCACTGTAGCGTGGCCGACCTCTGTATAGTCTGCAGGTACATGGAGCATCTGAGTGTGCACTTCCTTTTAGTCCGGCCGGGTACAGGAAACAAAAGCTCCCTGTACCCGCGGACCATACAGAGCTCGGCCACGCTACAACAGTGGTGAGGGGGGGGGACAAGGAAACTGAGAGGGGGGGGAGAAGAAGGAAATTGAGGGGGGGGAGGAAATTGAGAGGGGAGGAAATTGAGGGGGGGAAGGAAATTGGAGGAGAAAGAAATTTGAGAGGGGGAAAATAAATTGAGAGGGGGGAGGGAGAAGAAGGAAATTGAGGGGGAGAAGAAGGAAATTGGAGAGGGGGGGAGAAGGAAATTGGAGGGGGGAGAAGAAATGAAATTGAGGGGGGGAAGAAGAAATTGGAGAGGGGAAGATGGAAATTGAGGGGGAGAAGAAGGAAATTGAGAGGGGAGAAGGAAATTGAAGGGGGAAGGGGGGGGGGAGAAGGAAATTGATGGGGGGGGGGGAGATTGACATCCATTACACACAATGCACCCCTTGCACACAGAAAAATACACAATGCATTACTGTCAGGATTACAGAATGATCCAGCACGTAGAACTGTGTAACAGAGGACTGATAGGTAACGTATACCGGACCTTAGAATGGCTGGACTAACGTACCAAAGAATAGTCAGGAATAGCCGAGGTCAAGGGAAACAGAAAGAGACACAACGATAAGGAAAAGCCAGGAGTCAGGGATGCCAGAAAACAGGAAGTCAAAAACAATGCCAAAGTCAAATAACCAGAATAACCAGAATCAATAACACGCTCTCGGACAACCACAAGGGAAACCACGACAGGGCACTGAGCAGGATGAGAACTGGGCCTAAATACCCCTCCTCCAGGTCTGATAGGCTGTAACCGGCCTTTGACTCCAAAGGCAGTACCAGATCTCATTTGCATAATTGCTGCTCAGCATTAACCCTTCTGTGGATTTGGTTGTTGCTCGGCACAACTTTTCCTGTGTGGACAGTAAATGTCATTAACCACATTTTTGTAAGCGGGTGAATACGTGACAATTACACACACAGACACACATACACAAGCAATGTATCCCTTACACACACAGAAACACACAATGCATTCATTACACACATTCAATGCACCCCTTACACACACTCAATGCATCCTTTACAGACGCACACTCTGCATCCCATACATACACAAACACACCTTGCAGCCCTTACACATACAAACACAGATTCACACAATGCATTCCTTACACACATCAGGACATCCCCTACACACTCCACCCCCTGTGAACAAACCCATTGGTGGAACATAACAATACATACATATAATAGGTGGAGCTCTTAAATTCTGCGAATTTTCTGCAAAATAAAATAAGTACAAACAAATAGTGCAGTATGTCTTTAAAACACTATATGCAATACAGTAAAAGAGTGGTTCAACTCACAAGACTAGAGTCATACCATCATATGACTCAAGTAGTATGCTCCCTTGGACCATTGGGGGTTGTCCGGACCCTTCTTTTTCAGGATTCTTGGTGCTGCTACTTGTATCTCTTAGTAGGTAACCCAAAGAATGCCAGATGTAGAAGGAATCCTTTAATGGTAGTTTTATTTCTTCAATGAATTAAAATACAATAAGAAAAAAATAATATATTTGTACCAGATATTTCTGGGTAAGCTTGATGGTCCAACAAAAAGTCCAAGTCCGGAATTTAAGAGCTCCACCAATTATATGTATGTATTGTTATGTGTTTCTAAGTGGTGTAGGGGATACCACTTTATAGGTGTTTTCTGAGCTATAATATTCTCTTGTCCCCACATTGTGTATATATCACTTTGTATTATCATTGGTAGAACATGAAGGTGGACCCTGGGACAGACCTTGAGCTGTGTAAAGGGCCCCCAAAAAATGGAGCTGCTTCCCGTTCTCCCAGAACATTGATTTTTGTGACCACAGTTACAAACCGCCTCCAGAGAACCTGTTCTACACCAGACCAGTGGACCCAGACTGCAGCTAGAGCCCATCATCATCCTCATCTGGTTGTAAGTAGGCAATCTAGTATATTATTCGTGGCACTAATCTCTAATTTACCACACATTAAAGAAACACTATAGTCCCCAGAACCACTGCAGCTTAATGTAGTGGTTCTGGTGTCTATAGCCTGTCCCTGCAGGTCTTTTAATGTAAACACCGCGGCACTGCAACTGGGCGTTGGATGCTTTATGGCAAATCATATGGGTGGGGCATTGTGATGTCGGCAAAAATCCTTGCACTGGCCCTGGCTGGAGGGGGCTGTGTGAGCTGTGGCCGCACAGTGTCCCATGGTAGTTAGGGTGCCGTGCGGCCAGTACAGCTCACACAAGCAAACAGCTGATAAACTGGCCGCACGGAGGAAATGTGTATGTGTGACTGTCTGCCTGTGACTGTGTGTGACTGTCTGCCTGTAACTGAGTGTGTGACTGTCTGTCTGTAACTGAGTGTGTGACTGTCTGCCTGTAAATGTGTGTGTGGGGCTGCAGGGATTTTGTAGAAGGGGGCGGGGGTTTGTATTGGGACAGGAGTCTTTACAAATTTTTTGGTGCCAAGCACAGGATCCGCCCTGGGTGCCAAATGCTCTAGGTACGCCCCTGCATATAGTGATTTTATCCTGCTAACATGTATTCGCCATCAAGACACTGAGCAGATACTTTGTATTAAACTAGTCATTTTTATTGTGACATTCATAGGTCCATTAAATAAGACTCTCTAAAATGCATGCATTAATTGATGCTCACCAAATATTCTTTTTGCTTGCCCAGTAAAACCAATGGGTTAAAAAGACTTTAAGACATTTTGATTTGTAAATTGCGAGATGCCATGGGCTAATAATGAAATTTAAAAAAAACTAAAAAACACAACAACAAAAAACTCCAATTTAGCTTAAGGTGATCAAACTTATAGTTTAACTTATTCTTAATAGAAACACAAATATATATGCTTATGGCGGCCACGGCGCAGTAAAATTGACATGGAACGTTGCAAGCTACTCTATCAAGTTGCCTGTGTGTTATATGCTTGCTAACACTAAATGTAGTGGATATAGTCACATAGTTAGAAAAATCGAAAGATGGAAAAAGAATACCACTTAAAAGCTTGACACTTGGCATGACAATCGTGATTTCATATTTCCCAATGTTGAGTGGTATAAGGCATTCCCCATAATATGAATTGATCAAGCTTTTAAGTTGGAATTGTTGAGAAAAAGTTTAGGCCAGGGATAGCAGCACTGTGCCGATATAGGATTGTGATGTCCCGTAGCGTGCCGGTCCAATTTTTTTTAAATTGAAGTGTGCTTGCTGCCATATTCTGCTTGTGTTATTTTTACTGTAATTGCTTTGTATCACTG